GCTACGATAAATATTTATTCACTTAAACAGCAGTACAATGTTGAAAGAGTTGAAGGAAATTCAAAAAAGGTAATAAAATAGAAGGGTTGAATTTGAACGTAGTGGGAGGGAGAATTAAAAAAAAAGATAATTTATAATATCGGTGCAACCACATGATTGATTTTGTTCAAATATTATTGGTAAATTTTCTTTTATATAGAATATGAAATTACGCGTCCATCAAAATCAAGCAGTAGGAACAAATGAATTTATTTCTATTTAGGCTTTTTAATTTAGCAGGTTTGCGTTTCAAAGAATTAATTTTTATTATATTTTATAAAATTAATCAATTATTTATTAACAAGGTCGCATTGTTTAGGCATACCGTTATATTGAACCTTCCATAATAAGACAATTGAAAGTGAAGTGGGAATATTGAATTATTTTCCGCGTATAATTTATAACTTGAGGTGCCGCTATGTTAATGCATTGAGCATTTTATTGTGGATGTTCTATCTCAAAAGTGAAGATTTTTCCTAATAAAATACTTTCAACATTTTAAAATTAACTTTCATGTCATTTTATATTTTGACCATTTTATTATCTTATAGTTTATCAAATTTTGGATCCTTGCTTAGATGCTATACAGCTTCAGTTGTTATGATCGATATTATGACAGAATATAAGTATCAGGAAATTTTTTTTTTGGAAAAGATTCAATTTTTCTTATGGATTATTGATCAAAGTAGTTCAGTCGAATCTTTTCTATCCTTTGCATAGATAAAGTGAAGAAATTAAGTTAATAATTATGTTCATGTGTGTATTATTATTATTACTTATTTTTAAGAGAAAAGATTGAGATTATATCTAATTATTCTCAATTCTGAACGAAATAATTTACTTTCTGCTACTAACATTTTATGAAATTCGGAGGAGACTTTTAATACAGCCTTGCTTTGATTTAATCAATGACAGGGTCGACATCTAAATAATTTCTTAATGTATACAATTATTATATAACACAAAATTTTTTATATAATATTTAAATAAACTTATTAAACAGAATTTCTTTATAAGACTAATTCTGATCTTGATAAGGAAATTTGGAACCTTTTTTGCTTGAGAATGGTATTGAATTTCAAGACGTTGCAAAATTAACCAAATTTAATAATATAAATCGATAAACTATTTACTACTTTTACATATAAATTTAAGAATAAGTAAAATCACTCCAAATATCATTATTAATACCGAATGCTGTCTAAATCATTAGAGGCGTCAGAAATGACTGCAGCTTTGATGTTAAGAAGTGAAGATAAAAAAGAAATCCATTCATCATAGTTCTTTGCTCGATATAATTTCTCCAGATGTAAATTTCTCCATTTCTACACCGATGTAATTTCTCCAGTTTACACTAATGCAATTTCTCCAGTTCTACGCCGGCGCGATTTCTTCAGTTTTACGTCATAAGTGATTTCTCCAGTTCTTCGCTAAACTGAGAAGATAAGAAATCTGACCAAACTTAGACCCTGATTCTATCTTGGCGTTAACGCATTATTTATCCAGTTTTCTGCTAGAATTCTTCGTTTAACGTTGATACTAAATTTTTTTACTTCAAGAAATAAAAATATATCATATATAAACAATTTCATTCTTTTTATGTATAAAAATGAATTTCTTTTTACCTTTATGCTCTTTCTTTGTATTCCCATATAAATCACTCCATTTTGAATAATTACTTAAATATTTATTTTATCAAAATTTATAGAATTAAGATATCAAAAGACAGTTTATTTTTTTATTTTAAAATTAATATAAACTAGTTTGTTTGTTTATTTGGTCATATGCTAGCAAATGTACCCTCACGGATTTGATGCAATGCAAAAATAAATGTGCATTTTAAATAATGCAAAAAATGCATTTTTTTTAAAAAAAAGATATCACGAGAAAAATGCAAAAAAATAATAAATTGCCACAAAAGTACGATGTATATGTTATGCGAAATTATAATGCATAAACGCAAAATTATGCAAATTCACGAATCCTTGAGCTCTACCTGGGATCCCCTGTTAAAAAATTTTTTTTTTCACACGATCATCCAGAAATTTACATAGTAAATTCATGAATAATATTTTGAGCGATCTGAAATTTTGCACACTTATCATTCAGACCTTAAACTAGTATCATCAAGATTTTTACGCAATTTCATCATATGTACACGTTTCCACCCTTATTACAAACTCGTCATTTTTTTTTTTGTTGCAAATCACCTGATGATTATTACCTTACTTGATATTACAGGAAAGTCAATTATCACCAGTTGTCTTTTAAAATTCTAGTAAATATCAAATTCTTAAAGGTAATAATTTTAATAGACTACCAAGTGGCTTAACTAAAGATCCAATTAAGATTATAATATGATTATTGATGACATTATTGAATATAAGAAAGACTTATGTATCCTTTTACAAGTTCAATCAAAAGCTTATAATAGAGTTAATCTTGATATTCTTAACTAGTTTTTAAAGCTAAAAAATACTAAAAAGTATAGTTCCTGCCTCATAAATAAGAATGGCCTATCAAATCTTTATGATGAAAATTTGATATAGATCAATAAAAGTAATCTTACTCTTATTATAGTACATTTATTTTGGCTTTTTTTTGTAAAATATATAGATTAGATAAAGGTTACTTTTTAATTATACTTAGATATTTAATATTAAAATATGATCTTATTTTAACACAAATCTCTATATTTGATTTTTAATAAATGATCAAATTGAATTACTTAATCAAAAAAGGATTTAGAAAAGATTCTAAAAATTGCAAAACAGTTTTAAATAAAATTTTAACAAATATGATAGTCTCTTTTCTATTAAATTTAGATTTATCTTTATGAATATTAAATTAAAATCAGATTTAATTTACTTTTAAAAGTTTGAATTAATATTTTTTACTTATTTTTATTATTAAAAATAAATTAAAGATAGTATTTTAATTTTCATTGTATTTTAAAATCAAAGTTATTAACTAAATATAATTAATATATATTTTAATAGGTTTATAATAATAATCTGACATCTATAATTCTAAAAGTTTAAAATTTTAATTTCAAAACTTTGACATTCAAAAATCCTGATAATTTATAATCCCAATGGATTTTGATTCTAAAATGTATATAACTTGACTATTAAAATCCCAAAATTATATGATTCTGACAATTAAAATAAGATTTGATAATCTAATATAAATCAAAATAAAAAATTATAAAATTAATTTTGAAAAATCCAACATGAAAAAATCCTAAAAGGAGAAATAGAAAAATTTGCTTATTATATAAAATAAATCTTAATTTAATATAATAAAAATATTTCAATTCTATATTTTTTTCTGATTCTAATTCTGATTTAATAAATTTAAATTTAATTAGTATAATATTTATTATATTTAAAATATATTGATAATATACTACAATCTTTTTTTTTTTAAAATTTAGATTAGAATAATTAAAATTATATATATTTTAAGATTAAAAATCATTAAATTATAAATTATCAAAATTTTAAATATATTGGGATTTTGGAATCAGGATTCTAAAATTATCAAGATTTTAGATATTAAAATATTTATAAGATTTCATTCTTAATATAATACTTTTTTTTATATTGAAATATATTTTTAATTAATTTTTCTATCATTTTAAGAATAGTATTTACTTAAATTACACTAAAAAAGCTGATTAAATGTAATTTTTTTTTTGTTAAATTGATCTCAGATTGCTTATTAAAATAAATAAATCTTTTATTAGAATAAAATTTTAGTTATAATTCTATATAAAAAAGTATAATTAAGTTTTATTATGAATTCTAATTAGCTATTATCAATTTTATAAGAAATTGATTTTAAAATGCTAACTTTAAAAGTTTTATAACAGAATCTAAGAAAAGGATCATCTATTTTATTCTTTAATCTTATTTACATAATTCCTAAAACTTTATTTTAAAAAAAATCTAAAGTTTTATTAACTTTTATAATCTTTAAAAATTATAAATTAACATATGGGTTGATTGCTAGGAAAATCAGGTTCCGGGAATTTTTTAGCAAAATTGAGATTTTTATTGCATTTTAGTTTTTGATGTTATTAGAATAAAATGTATTAAGCTCTTAATTTTGGTCAAAATTTCTCAGAACCTAATTTTCCTAGAAACCCTCCCATATTATCTTATCAATAATAAGTCTTTAACACATAATCTCTTTTCTTTCATTTATCATTATACTTATTTTTATATAAAAATTTTTTAGGTAAAATATTATACTATTATCAAATATTTTAAACTTTCTAATAACATCTTTTAGCTAATTGTAAAATATATTTTATTAACACTAGTTTTCTTATATCTAACTCTTATTCTTTTGTGATTCCTTTTATTTCTCTTCTTTTTAGATATAATACAAACTGGTCAAATTTTTAGATTGATAATAACTAAACTCTTGTATCAGATAATTAAACTTATTTTAAATTAGTTTAAGATAGATTAATCTTGAATAATATAAAGTAATTTTGATTTAGTTTTATTTTCTTAACTAAAATAGGAATTTCTATACTCTTTCATTTATAATTTATAATCTTATAAAATTTTACTTTATTATTAATAAAAATTATGCAAAATTACTGCATATTAAAAAAAACTTAAAATATTTTTGATATCTAATGATTATAAAAAGATAAAATAAAGTTTATTAGATTTATTATTAAAATATATTTAATAATAATTTTTTTAAATTTTTAAAATTAATAATTATTAATATATATCAATTTTTAAAAATAAATAATTATTTAAAATAAAATTCAATTTATCAGATTTATCTTATTAAACCTATTAAATAATAGTATTTTTATATTTTTGAGATTAATAAATAATGAATTTAAAATTTTAATTTTTTTAATAATAATTTATCATTTATTTATCTTTAAAAAATTACTAGTTAATTATATTTTTTTTTTAATTTTTACTTAGAAAATATCATAAAATTTATTATAAATATATTAATTTTTTATTTATTCATTATATAAATATATATATTAATTTTTATTATTAAATATTAAATTAATTCAAATATAATCAAACTTCTTTAAATATATATTTTTAAATATATATTAATTTTATAAATTAAAAATCTAATTAATAGATATTGCAATTAGTTACAACTATGTGATGCTTATTTGTTATTAATTATACTAGTTATAACTTAATTTTTATTAATGTTACCACTAATTGCAATTCTATAATGCTTATTTTTTATTAATTATAACTAGTTGCAATATCATTTTTATTAGAAATAAATATTTTGATTTAATTATAAAAATTTTAATAATTAGTTAATATATTATATATTTCTAAAATTAAATACTTTATATTTGCTATAAAGATACTTAATTTTGAGTACTAATAAAATTGCTAAACTTTTAATCTCAAAATTATGTAAAAATAACAAATGCTTTATATTTGTAATATGTTTCATTTAAGAATTATATAAAAGAATCTATAAAATAAAGTTTTATAAAAGTAAATATAATTTTAACAGTAATTTTAGATATGTTAAGTCAGATAAAAAAAATTTTAAATTCTCATGATATAAAATTTTAAAATTGATACAATCATCCAGTTTTTTTATATATAAATTTTTTTATATGTACTTTATATTATGTTTTGTATTATGCAAATAGTATGCAAATATTATATAAATAAATTAAATTGTTAAATCATCTATAGATCTCTTATTATTTATCTATTTACACTTTTTTAAAAAAAATATGTCAATAATAATTATATATATTGTGCTTAATTCTAAAATAATATTTGAGTAGAAAGAATTTCCTATTAATGAGAATATAAATATAAAAAAGTTTTTTAAAGATATAATAGTTTAATTATACAAAATAATTAAAATAGAAAAATAGAATTGGAATGTAATACTTGAGAAACGATTAAGCAATGTAAAAAATGTGTAACATTTAAATTACTTGGTAACTCTAATAATGTACCAGCTACAAATACAATCAATGCATTTGAATTAATGAGATCTATATTAATATTTAATTATCTTTCAAAATTTAAATTACCAGTGAAAAATTCTTAAGAGTAGTTATGTATAGATTTAAATAAATTGATTAGAAATAATAGAGATGGTTAAATAGGAATAGATAATGCAAATAGTATTAGAAAAAGATTTGTTTCTGATTTAATAAATCTATTTACAAAGGATTATTAAAAGTTTCTGAACAATTTTTTATGTAATATAATACGTTAAATTTTTAAAAGTTAATAAAAATTCTTTATAATAACTTTATAAGTATTAAAGGCTACATTTTATATTATTAAACTAGTATTTAATTGAGCTACCTTCTGTTACAATCACTACTTGAACTCATACTGATATACTATTGACTAAATTTTTAATTACACATT